GGGTTAAATGCAGAGAGGGAATTTAGTTGCTCTGTACTGCCGACAGAGGAATGAGGAATAGTTGAATTCTATTCTATTCCTTTTTTAATTGACTCTATATTTATTTGTACATAAATAGTGAAGTATTTCTTAAAAATTACATTTACATATTTAATGAATCATTTTAAATGTTTTCATATGTATGCATTTAGAAGTGCAATTATTTAATGGTGTAAATTTAATTCTATTCAGTTTATTTCTATAGCTCCAATTCACATAATGTCATCTCAGGTCACTTTATAGACCCACATCAACCAGATCATCCAGTCAGATTGATTCAAAGTTTTCTATCTAAGGAAAACCAGCTAACTAAGTATGCTTGTAGCGACAGTGGAGAGGAAAAACTCCCTTTGAACAGGAAGAAACCTCCAGCAGAACCAGGTTCAGTGTGAGCGGCCATCTGCTGAGGCCCACTGGGGTTCAAGGAGACAGAAGCAGATGACTATTAAATGCTCGATTTAATAGTTGATATAAATATTATTTGTACTTATTTCATGTTACATTTATTTATTTATTCCATGGGAAATTAAAATGAAATTCTTGAAATGTTTTGGCCCTCCATATTTCTCTGGGATCTGATCACATCCCTTATGAGACCATCTGGTGACCCACCCACCCCCTCCCTCCCCCTCTGGGAGTCACTGATCTAGCTTTTTATTCTCTGATGGAGGATTTAATCTAAATAACTGAATGTTTTCTTTACTCTATGCCTTTTGGACCTGCTGGTCCAAACGGGTCTGATACCAGAACCAGAACACTGAGGGAGACTGGTTCATCTAGCTACAGTGCAGTGCTGCCAGTGGCCTTTAGGGGCGCTAATCCTGGAGGATAGATCTTGCGCCCCTAGTGGACAATCCGTAAAACAAGTTTATTTTATTTTTTTACAGTTTCTGTTCCTGTTTTAGTTCAACTATGCAAGAAACGGAAAAAAAAATGCAACTAATGAGAAAAATTAAAAAACACTTTTCAGCTTCAGTAGAAAGTTTCTCACTAATATAAATGATTAAAGGCGTCATCACCTTATAATCTGACCTGCATGTTGGTTTTGGGCTTCAGTTAAAGCCTGTTAGACGATCCACAGATGGAAGGTGGACCGTTTTTTCCTGTTTCCTGTCGACTCTTTGTTTAAACCAGGAAAGACCAGAAAGGGTGATTATGGTTCTCCTGTCAGAAGGATGCTAACATTAGCATGCTTTGCTATCTCCTCTACTCCAATCAGGGACTCCCCTGCAGGCAGTCAGGGGGAGTGTTCCATTTCAGCGGCTGCGTCCTCCAAGGACCTGGTCACCTGGACTGGGTCCTTGGAGGTCCGTGAAAATAAGGAGGATGGAGGAGTTTGGCTGTGGATTCAAACAGGTCCAGCCTTCTCGGGCATTTATCGCGGTATACTCTGTCACCTAGCAACCGTGACAGAAGACACAGCGCAGACAAAGAATGGATGCTGAACTTCTCATTAATGATCTGGGTGCTCATAATATTTGTGAGGAGCTTCAGCAGCAGTACGGTCGTCTC